TAGTTTTTAATGCCTAAAAAATATAGTGCCAAATAAATACTGAGTAATCTAAAACTGAAATTGTAATTTCTTATTTTTTTTCTTTGTTCAATCCAGGGAAAACATATTCTTTCAAAAATTAATTTTTAGAACAGTAAAACAATGAAACAAATCAAAATAGGTTAAAAAGAGTTGCAATGAAAATCAATTAGAGTAATTAATAGTTGATCATTGACAAAAAAAGAATAAAAATCTAAAAGTATAAGTCATGCGATTGAGGAGTTCCAATGACAAAAAATAAATTGAATTAAGAAAAAAAACTAAAGCAGAAAAATCAAGAACTCACCACTCCAGAGGAGAAGCTGAGGAACTTTGCGTTCGACTAGGGGGAGCCGTGGAAGAAACGATGAGGCGGAACACTGAATAGTAGTCCTTTCTTATTAATTATTTGGCTTGAGTAATAGAATAAATCTAGTAATGGGCTAAAGATAAAATTAAAAATGGGCCCTTATATTTCGGAGGCCCTGTGCAAGTGAACCTAATGCACTTGCTTATGGGCGGGCTTGAGTAAAGCCCACAAATTAAACAACCCATTAGTTCCCATGACATTGGTTCCCAATGTAATGGGATGACCCTGGGGTGCTCCGGTGCCTCGTTCGTAAAATTAACGGTTCCTACCCCCCTTAACCTCCCGGTAAACCCCCCCACCCCGCCCCGACTAGAACACACCCCCTCACCCCTTCAATTGCACCTCACAAGTTGATTTTGACTTTGGGGTCAGAATTTGACTTCAAACTCAAAATCAACTTGTAGGGTGCAATTGAAGGGGGTGAGGGGGTGTGTTCGGGTCGGGGCGAGGTGAGGGGGCTTACCGGGTATAGGAACCGTCAATTTTACGAACGGGGCATCGGAGCACCCCGTGTAATCGCATGACATTGGGAACCAATGTCATGGGAACCTTGCCCATTAAACAAAGGAAAAATTACCCAAAATAATCCCAACTTTACCCGGTCTTTCAAAAATAATCCCACCTTTCACTGTGATGCATAATAATCCCAACTTTAATGAAATTTGCCAGTTTTGGGTCGCCGTTAAGTTTCTAACGGAGGGTTAACGAAAATGCCCATTTTAGGCAACAAAATGAAAGTTGGGATTATTTTTGATGAATTTTTGTTTTTTAATTTTTTTTTAAATTTTCCTTTAAATTTTTTAAATTACTTTCTACCTCCATCATCATTTCTTTTTCCTTTTTTAAAGATTAGTCTTAGTTTAAAAAATAAAAAAAATAGATATAAAAAAGGAAAAAATGAGAAATGTAACTAAAATGATATAAAAATAATAAAATAAATAAGGTAATCAATGGAACTAACTTGAAATTGGAAAAAGTAAAATAAAAATATACGGGTGGGTTTTAATATTTTAGGCATTATACAAAGTATTAATATATCACTTCTTATTTTTTAGAAAAAATTATCTACAATAATTCTAACTTTACCGGACGACTTGTTCTTTTAAAAAATAAGTAGTACATTAAGACTCTGTATAGTGTGTAAAATGTTAAACACACGACTCCATATATATTTATTTTATTTCTTAACAGTTTCTGTTTAATTTCTATTGATTACATTAATTATTTGATTAATTTTGTATGATTTTAGTTATTTTTCTCATTTTCATTATTTTTTATAACTATTTTTTTTCTAAAATAAGAATAATCTTTAAAAAAGAAAAAGAAATGGAGGTTGAAAGTAATTCAAAAAATTTAAATAAAAATTTCAAAAAAAAAATTAAAAAACAAAAATTCATCAGAAATAATCCCAACTTTCATTTTGTTGCCTAAAACAGGCATTTCCGTTATCCCTCCGTTAGAAACTTAACGGCGACCCAAAACTGGCAAATTTCAGTAAAGTTGGGATTATTATGCATCACAGTGAAAGGTGGGATTATTTTTGAAAAACCGAGTAAAGTTGGGATTATTTTGGATAATTTTTCCTTAAACAAACTACTCCCTCCGTCCTAGGGTATTCGTCCAGTTTTGACTTTTGGAATTGTTCATCTAAGCACTTTGACTCATCAAATTCTCTCAATGTGTAAGCCTAAATATAGTCATGTGTGATCTTGTTTGATTTGTCTTAACATATAGATTATTAATATATAATTTCTATAATTTTTTAATATACAAATTATAAGATAAAATAGATTAAAGAAATGTATTGGATAATGTACAAAAATAAAATTGAACAAATAATCTGGGACGGAGGTAGTAGGTAGAAAGAAGAAAAGTATTGGTTCAAAGAACCTTAGCGACCCGTATCTCTTGGTAGATTTCTGTAGGCCCGACTTGTACCCCGCGCCTCTCCCTTTTGTTTTCAACGGGAAAGACATTTTTGACTTAGAAGCTGAGTTCAAGTGTTCAATTTACATTTTGAATTTGTGATTGCATTATATTCATTCGAGACAGTATATGATTTTTATGCTTAATATACGCAGGTTTCATTTCTTATTCATCCGTTGGGATCTGTCCTAAACTCCTAATACTTTTTGAGTTCTTGTCCTAAAATTTATGCTTTGTTTTCCTCAAAAAAATAGTGCTCTTTTAAATTATGATGATGGATTGAATTTATTTTCAATGTAATTAATTATAGGTATGATATGTTATATTAAAAGTTATATTTTTAAAAACTACGCTGTATGTCAAATGTCCTATAAAAAACATTTTATAACTATTTTATTTTTATAAATGATTAACAAAGTTAGATGAAGAAAGAAAAATTTATTTGATTCTTCATTAGTATAGAGTAACAGAAAAAAAAAAAGCAAAATCCGATCCAATTTATCGAAATCGATTAGTTAACATGTATATAGAGATAGGGGAGAGAATTTACCACATGAATATAGATATAGTAAGTATGGCTTGGGCTGCGTTAATGGTAGTCTTTACCTTTTCCCTTTCACTAGTAATATGGGGAAGAAGTGGACTCTAGAAGTGCTGCTAATTTGAATTTTTGGGAAATAAAATTATTTCACTTTGATTCTTTGTATCATACAGCGTTATGCACCACCTTGATAATTCTAATAATTTGTAAATAAAACCTCTATCCCCATGTCTTTCGTTTCAACTATTCAAAACAAATAAATATAAATATCGCATAGATAGTCTGGGTTTCATTTATTTATCAACCCTCACTATCTATTTATACATAAATACAGGTCATTTATGGTTCTTATTTAGTCTATGGCGGAGTTGATCGCTTGTTTATCAGTCACATTAAAAAGCTGTCCTACAATTTTTGCTATAAGCGGACTAAAAAGGAAAAAGTTTTGGCAGTAACTAAT